GGGCATAAACAATTCTTTATTAGTACAGGCAGGAGAAAAAATTACAAACCCCGGGAAAAAGCCCTGCAGTAGTTCCAAGCTGCCATCGGACAATAAGGGAGCGGAGAACGGGAGAGCGGCAGCAGCTCCAAGCGACAGCAGCTCCAAGTGACGACCACGAATCAGTGATGAGAAGCGATGGTTTGGTGTTGAAGATCAAGTTTTTGATTCGTCTAATTGGGCAAACAGCCCCATTAATCGTTGGTTTTTTCCGTTGGTAAGATTCTTTACTAACTTTCAAATTACAGAGAAATTTTATTCGATTTTTATAATTTTAGACACTTTATGCTCGTGTATTGGACCATCGCAATAAATTTATCGAAGCAGCCCAGCGATATTACGATCTGTCGATTTTCCAGACAGGTTTATCCAATGCCGAAAAAATGCAAGCGCTTACAAATGCTATTTCCTGTGCAATTTTAGCTTCACCAGGTGCATTTCTCTTTTTTAATTATGTATAAACGGAAACGACATCTTTCAGGTATTCTGCTCCGGATCGAGAAAAGCACCGCCATGGTGCCTTTTTCAGGAGAAAACGATTATCTCGTAGTGGGCTGGAACATTTGACACATAGTTTTTTTCTTTTGGCGCTGGTGAAACCGATTAAAGGCCTGTGGTTTTGGGGAAATTTTGGGAAAAAATGTTGGGGGAATTTTCACCTTCGTCTAGTTTCGGATGAAGCAAAAATCCATGCAGAAATTTCGATATTTCGATTTTTGTCAGGCCTCTACATATGTTTAACTTGTTGCTCATCTGTCCTCGACTGATCTGCAATGGATAATTTTTACCAACCGCTGTTTCATCGTCGCGTTTCTGCTAGCCACTGATACGCATTACTCGCGACTTCTCTGACCTTCTCTCACCGATACAGTCCCATGTAAAGTTTAGAAAACCTGGGGTATTAACAGTAAATGGTACTCAGAAAAGTCCAAAAAGTTAAAAAGACGATCTCATCATGCTCTGAAATCCGAAAATTTTTGATTTATTTGATTAATAATTCT